CACCAGTCAAGGAATTTCAATTGGTGGGGTCTAGGCAGAGGGCCTTTTCTGCTGTGGCTCCTGTCAGGCCTAGTCCAAGGAACTCCAGGAGACCATGCGGGTTCAATCAGCAAGGTTTATTAGCCAGTGCCTGTTTACAGAAAATCTTCTCAGACTGAAGATCAGTTCCCAGGCTCAACTATTTCTCTATCTGGGAATGTTTAGGGATGCCCTAGTTTCCTACGCTTATCTCCAGAGCATAGTTTTTACTCCTCTTCCCCCATTCCAGTCCATCACAGGCTCCCACCCTATGGAACATCTTGCCTCCCGAGGTCCGGTGTGCCCCCTCCCTCATGGCCTTCAGAAAGGGGGTTAAATCCTGGGGGCTGGATGGGGGCTCGCATCTGTGGAGATGGCTGGTGGGGGGATGGGGTTTGGCTCCCCCCCCATCTTGAAAGTTTTAGTGCTAAAATATACAGGGGGGGGGGTTAGGACACTTTTAATGTACGTTTTTATTTTAAATATTTATGGATTTTAGTCACTGTTGGGGGGATTGTTGGGGGAGATGGGCGGCATACAAATTTAAAAATGAATGAATGAATGAATGAATGAATGGTGGCCTGAAGCCCACCCACTCTTTGAGTCATCTTTGGATCCAGGCCTGGCAGCTTCCCTCCCTCTAGCTAGTGCCCAGCCTAGTTGAGAAGGACTTGAGAAGGCCTTGGTAAGTGTGGATGAGTGTGTGCGCACATGTGAGAAAGAGCAAATGCACATTGTAGCCCGGAAAGTTTTGCTGCTACTTTAAATTCACTGGGTGACCATGTGCTCCAGTGTTGGTTGGCAGCCATTGGGGTGTGTCCCTAATTACTTCCCACCTGTGGCCCAGGGCTGTGTCTCTTGTCTGCTCTCTGGAAAGCCCAGGTGGAAAGCAAGGGGGGCAGACAAGATCCCTGTGCCTCGACAGGCTGTGAGTGAGTGAGTGACCCCAAGCCGAACCTGGGAGTGCCTGTAACAAGCCCCAGGACTGTTTCCCGTGGCTCTGAAAAGTGAGGTCCCTTTTGATAAAGACACAAGGAAAGATACATAGGTAGATTCTGTAAATGGTTGCTTGCTGTTCATCTCTCTCTCCTTTTGCAGCCTTTTATCCCGTTTCTGCCAGTTCATGTTTTAAATGGCGGCTGATATTTAACAAGTAAAGATCAAGCTCTATTTTTTACTAGCCGAAGTGAGGGCCACGTGCACTGGGTCTAATCGGGGTGGGATGGGAGGGTCTGGGGTGGGGGTGGGGGCAAACTGGGAATTGCACAGAGCAGTTTCC